AGCCTCCGCTTACCAACGCGAGCGAAATAAGTCAAGGCTGACCCATCCCGCAGGACACAGAAACCCGGGAATGTCCGCGGGGTCTAAGAAGGCTCCTTCGTTCCCACTTAGCCCCAGTTGCCCCTCAGGTCTCCCTGACCGTGGAAAGGACCGAAGGGGAAGCGGCGGGGGTGGGGGGATGGGCGGGGGACAGAAGGGCGAGGCTCCGACTAGAAGCTTATTCCAGAGGCTTTGAAAAATAAGGCTTCCGTCCTTAATACGCGCGCGCGCTTCTCGAGTTAGAGCTTAGAGGCTGTAAAGCTGGCATCGAAACCTCGACCTTCCCCGGGTCCTGTCCGGCAGACACGTCTGCCTGGCGGCGCTGCCCATTTAGCGGTGTGCATCAAGTGGCGACGCAAGTGAATAATGGCATGGAGGTGGGCGAGTTGAGGGCAGCAACACGTTCCTAGTCTCGTGGTATATTTAGTAGCACCCGCCGTTATCGGCCTCCACGGATGGGGGAAGCAGCCGCCCCCTCCGACCTGGCGCGGCCGCTCCTACTGAGTCCGGCTGACGCGTGCAGAGGAGAAACTGCTGGCCGCCGCCCGCCCCGCGCCTCCGGGCCCCGGGAGAGCCGGCGCCGGGAGGCCGAGACGCAGAGCCAGAGCCAGGCCGAGGGTCTGGGGGCCCGAGCCGAGCCGTCCCAGTCCGACTGACTTCCACGTGCAGAGAGGGTAGACCGGCCAGTTAGTGGATGATTGATTGCTTGGGGAGAAGGAAGCTGTAGCTTGCACGGTAGCTGGTGGCTAATGCATGACACTATGCTATTTCTGTAAAAGTCGTGATGTGTATGCCCATTGGGTCGCTGGAACATCTAGACCCTGATCGTGCGTACAGTGTTTCCTTACAGGCAGCACTCTCCTTTTTAAAACCAGGTCCGGGAGCCCCTCTTGCTAATCCTCTCTGCCATTAGTTCGCATAAATCCTCCTTTTAATGCTCTACCTTTCCTTTCTCTTTCTCCCTTCCTTCCATCTTTCCTCAAACTGAGTTGTTCGTGCTGAATGCCACTCACTCACCGGCATCCCAGTGTAGGAGCCTGAGGTAAAGCCCCACATCTCCCCAGGACAGCTTCGCCTTTGTAGAATTGGAGAGCTCTGCTTTGGCCCCAAAGCACGTCTCAATAGTGAAGTTTCCAATTCAGAGTCACCTATAAACGCCCATGACTTGGTTCACATGAACTCCTCAACCTCCACAGAAAGCCGTTTCCACAACTTAGGATCGTTTTGGTAGTGTGTGTTTGCTCTGAGAAAAGGAGCTGACCAGTCAGCTTAGTTTCTGGGTAAAGAAAGATTTTTTTAAAAACAGTTTTCCAGTTGGAGACGACTCATTCTGGATTCCCTCACCTACCACGGCAGTTTACCACTTTGGCCCTTCACCTTAACACATTACACTTTTTCTTTTTCTTTTTTTAGTTCAAGGCTGAGGCTTCCCCCATGTCAGATAGAGTGTCACTGCATTTCAGCATTTGAGACAACTTTAGGGGACTTGCCTACAGAAACGATCTTCTTAATCCTTCACAAGAAAATGAGACCATTTGAAAGATTTTGAACTTCCTTATGTCTGGGATTGAATAGATTTGTTTGTTGAAATGTGTGAGGTTTACTCACCTCTAGTCACCTTAGGCTACTCACTGATGCCTTCCTGTCTTACAGACTTAGATTGGGGGGGCCCCAAGCCCCTCCCTCAGTGGAAAGAGGACAACAATTCAGATTCTTATTTCAGTTTGTTTAAAAAAAAAATTGAAGAAGAAAAGAAAAGGAAAAAGAAAAATAGCTTCTTATCAGGTTGGGACATCTTTTGTAAATTTTGATATTCAGAAAAAAAAATGACAAGAGAATCAAGAAGAGATCATTCCAGGTTATTTCAGTGGATTGCCTTTTTAATGCAAAGTTATAAACACTGGAGTAAACATTTACATTTGCCCTCTCCCACTCCTTTAGTTGGAAGAAATGTTTCTACTATTGACTTTCAGTTTTGCATAATGCTCCCCACTTTTCTTACCATGCCTGAAGTCACAGGTACACACTCCTTAGTCTGTTCTATTAAAGGTGACTCTTGATTTACGCTCTTCATTTCCCCTCCCCAACACACTGACACTTGCTTATACAAACACACTTTTCTTGATCCAGAGAGGGTTGGGACATGCATAACTTTTTGGTACTACCCTGACTTTCATTCTTTTCAAACTCATATTAAGGTGTTCACCCTGAGATCTAAAATGAATTACTGAGGAACAACCATGTGAAAATTTGTTTAATTTTCTGCCCTTTTTTTTTTCCATTTGTTTTTCAAGTTTCATAGGGAAGGCTGTAACAGGTGTCTAAGTAATAGTCCCCAAGAATCCCTTATTAGATGACTTCCAGACCAGATGTAAACCAGTAACAGTATTGTTTCCAAAAGGGAAACTATAAGCTAAGATCAGTTTTGTCAAGGCATTCATTTGAGCATTTATCTTTCTTTTATTTGACTGGGTTTGTGGGAAGAAAAGGAGGACTAAATGGGGCAAGGGGCAGAGATAGAGAACCCAATGAAAACTTGTTTTTATGATTAAAGCCATTTTCCCAGACTATTGTCTTGCCACAAGTGACAACACACAGAGCACAAGTCATGAAAGTGGATTACTGTCACTCTGGACTATTGGAGGCCTGGAGAGCCCTGGCATTAATTCCTATGGAAAGGTAGACAAACCTAGCCATCCCCCCATGCAGCACCCTCATTGCCTGAGGGTTTCCAAGGCTCTCTCAAAGTTGATACTGACCTCAGCTAAGTCTAGGTAGCAGGGCTTACCCGCCTAGGAGAGGCAGAGGCTCCGCATGGAACTAAGGAGGAAGCAGGGTGGCTGTGAGAACAAGCCTGAGGGGATGGGGTGCTGTAACAGGCCGGCTGTGGCCACCAGTCCCCTGGCAGGATAGCAATCAATGAGTCAAAGCTAGCTAACAGTGAATGAAAGAGAGCCAAGAATGGGACCCTTTGGGTGCTAGAGACTACCCTTTAGTTTGTTCCACTCCTCCCCCTGGGCTCCCATCCTAGGTTTTCAAGGTTGGAGACCTAGCCAGAGGAAAAGGAAAGCATGGTAAGAAAACATGCCTAGCCCCCATCCAACGCATGCAGGGATGGGAGCTTGCAGAGATCAGGAAAGATACCTCAAGTCCTCAGTGATCTGTGTCTGACTCATGCAAGTTGTGCATGGTCAACAGCGGCCGTGGGGGGTGGGGAGGGAGGAAAGCCTCATTTTCTTCAGTCTCTCTGGGGTTGTTGTGTCTCCTCTCCCCCAACCCCATCTCACCCCACCCCAAATAGAATTGAAACTCCATTGCCTTTGCCTGCACTGAGCCTAAAAACTCAGGATTTGATAAGGTTACTGCACCATTGATACAATTGCAGATTTTTTTAAAGCGTCCTCAAAGAGACAGATGTTTGGGCTGATTAAAAATTGAGGAGGAAACCTGCAGCTGCACCAAGGAATAATCTATTGGACAAATATTTTAATAAAAAAAATATGAAGAGATCAGCCCGACCTTGCAAGGTCTTCTGCTTTAAAAAAATCTTTATCAAACCCCTATTCTATGGCTTCAATAAACAGAACCCATTACCTCACGGCATCTTTTGTTGGCCCCATACAAGAGAGAACAAAATGGTTATTCAGGGGAACGCTTTCGATTTTTATTGTGGGTAGCCTGCACAAAGAGCCGTGTTATTGTATTTAAAAGAACCATCTGTAGCAGAAACAATGGCATCAAATTATCTTTGAATACCCACTGAAAAAACATAAAGCTTTTTTTTTTTTATTCTTCTTCTGTACGGTGGGGGGATAGAGCAGTGTTAGGATAACTGACTTTTTTGTTGTTCTCTGGGTGCATTCTTCTCGCTCCCCCTCTCTCCCCCTCACCCTCTCACTCCTCTCTCTCTCTCCCTCTCCCTCTCTCTCTCTCTTTTAAAAAATCAGCCATTTGGGGTTTTAAGCCATAAACGATTTTTCTTGTTGCAGGGGATTGCAGTGGCAAAGCTAGGCTAGGTCTTGGAGGCTGGTGGAAGGCGAAGCGGGTGAAGGCAGGAGGCTGATGGAGAGACTGGGGGGAAGAAAAGCCGAAATGGATTCACGGTGCCTTGGATGGAGGACGAGAGGGGAATTGCAAGCTCCTTCAACTCGTTCTGTCCGGTGAGAAGTGATCAAGCTTGGGCTGACAAGAGGCTCAGGAAGCCCTCACGTTCTTTCGCTTTTTTACCTGCCAATCAAACTGCTACAAGACAACACCCTGATCTGGCATGGACATGTAAGTAGCTTGCAACCCAACTTTGACATTCACTGCTAGCTCACTCCTCTCCGCCCACCCCCCCAACTCACTTTCTTCCCCTCTCATTCTATTTTTTTTTCTTTTGACCTTTAAGAGATCTGGAAATACACCCTGTGTGGCAGTCATTTAACACAGGCAGATTTAAGTCTGAAAGCGTTAACTTTTGGAATTAAATGCTAATTTTGATTTCTTTAACAAATGCAGAAATGAAGACATTATTTTATTCTCTTCTGAACTGTTTTAGTGCTGAACATAATCAGTTGCCTTGCAAGGGTGTGTGTTTTTCTTTTTCTTTGAAAATGTAGAAATCCGTGAGCCCCCAGAGAGAAATGCAGAAATGAAAAATTTCAGGCTTCCATCTTAAAAATGTCAAATTCTAGCATCTCATCCCTACCAAAAAAAAAAAAAAAAAAAAAAAAAAAAAAAAAAAAAATTCTTCTCCAGACCAAGGTTACATAGAATGGAAAGAGTGATTTGAGCCCAAAGGTACATATCATTAAGGGGTTGCTACTATTTCATCTGGCGTCTTAACTATTTTGGTTGTAGTTAGGGAGGCGGTGTGAAAAAAAGCAAAGGAAAGGGACATGGCGACACCTCATTCTTTATAGAGATTGACACTGAGGGGGCTAGAGATACAAGAGGACAGGATAAGCAGGAAATATTACCTGAGAGAAGGAATCACAGAGCATGGCGGAGCTGGAAGCTAGGAGGGCTTCTGTGGGAAGTTGTGCGAGAGGTGATGGGCTTGCTCTCTGGCGCCCTCTAATGGCAATATGAATCAATGTTTTACTTTTTTAATTCAGTACTGGGAAAAGCAGCTGGGTTTTTGTTGTTGCTGTTGGTGGTTTTTCTCCGCAGGCTTAGAAACTAGAGACTATTAGTGGAGTAAATTGATTGTTTTCATCCCAGAAACTTATGTATATGCCTTAAAATTATCAGTGTTTTCTCCTCAAACATCTCCTCCTCTCCCAAAATTTTGTTAGACTAATAGAGGAGAGGCTACAGGCCGGTTGACTTATGGAGGGTGGCCCATGCTCAATTAGTAATACGGAGAAAGGGATTCCTTTCCTACCTGAACAGCATTGTGACTCTTCTAATATACTGAAGAGGTCTTGGGGGCTGAGGTGGGGGGGCCATGATTTGGAAATTGCAGATTCTGACACAAACTCATTACATTAGAATACAATTTAAAGGGGCCTCCTAGGAACCTCAGTTATTGCGATATGCGGTGGTCAGGGGCCCTTCCTTCCCGCCTCATTTTTCTTTTCTCTTTTTCTTCTTTCTTTCGTTCTTTTTTTTTTTTTTTTTAAATTTGGTAGATAAAGGTTAATCTTGGGCTGAATGATAGAGCTATGATTGACAAGAGAAAAGGTGTTGAGGGCAGGTCGCGCTGTCTTATTTACAGCCCACTGCTTGCTGTAGAGTCTTTGTTAGGACTGGAAAGCTAATTTAGTGCTGATCAAAAGCACCACAGAGTTAAAGGACTGGTAATGACTGCTAATTTCATTTCAGCCTCATGCATCCCCAACTACTGTAATTAAAGACACGCTATTTAAATACAGGTGAAGGGTTTTTTTTTTTTTTTAAGTTAGGGTGGGGGTGGGTGGATTACAATATTATTTAGATTTCATCTTATACATGGGTGTTATGTAGTCCAACATCAGTTTTTTTTTTTTTAGAGCCGCTTCTTGTCATTTATACCTGGCTTTGCAGAATCGGCAGTCGTGAAATATGTCAATCACACAAAAGCCACTGTTTAAGGGGAAAAAAAGGGAGGGGGATGCAGAACAGTAAATGTTTAGGGGGGGATTTAAATATTTGGGTCTCTTTTATTTTTTCCCTTCAAATTAATAGAAGGGCCTTCGAAATAGCTAAAGTATTTGAAACTTAGGGCAGGGTTAACAGGCCAAAGGGATCAGTGTCAGCTTTTTAAGTACTTCTAAAAAGATCATGTGAACAGATGGAAAAATATATTTTTAATTAAATAATTTCCCCCACACTGTAGCTGCAGTGTTGGCTCAGAAACCGTGTAATTCCTCAACCAATAGGAGTTTCTTTATAAGAACATCAAAGGATAAAAAGCTCTACATTTTCGTAGTTGGTTAAAATTGATAACCCTCCCCCCCCAACACACACACCCAAAAAAAGAATTTAGCCTTTAATCTCTTTTTATCCACGAAGACTAAAGCTCTGTACTCGACCCCGCGAGCGGCTCTCGCCTTCCGGGGCTGGAACCCGGCTCAGATGTGAAGCGGCGCTGAGCCGCGGCGCAGGTTCGTGACCAGCGCCCCCTGTTGGACACAGTAGGAGATGCACAGCGCCAGTCCTGGAAATCGCGAGAACCTTGCTCTGGGGTTAGATAAAACTCTTTATTACCCTCCAAAAAGGAGATGGGGCGAGGAAACAAGTTTTTATATCCTTGAAAGATAATATAATTTAATTCAATAAAAAATAAAAAGGAGATGATACAATTTTAATTCAATAAAAAATAAAGACTAACCTGTTCCTCCTCACATCCCTGCTACCCCCTACCCCCTTTTGGGTTTGGGACTCTTTTTAGAATCTGAAATAGTAAAACACGTAGAGAAGCATGATTTAAAAAGATAGAGAGAGAGAGAACTTTCTTCTGTAGCAGTGGAAAACCAAGCAAATTACTTCTCCCGTTCTGTCCACATTAAAAAAATAATAATAATGAAACGGAAGATGCTTCTGCTTGCTCTTTTGACGTTGTCAGCAGCATCTTGTATGCCCTCCGAGGTCCTTCAAGAACTGTCACTGAGTACCTGAGTGAACAAAACAACTTGCTCATTTTTTATTTGTTTATTTTCAGATTGTAATTAAGAGGCCAGTTTCTGCTTTGAATGTGTCCCATCCCCCAAACCAATCTTGATCAAACTTTTCCTTTCCGGATGGCAGTTAAATTCCAGATATTATTTAAGAAACAGGTGCCTGACACCTTTCTTCTTTTATCTCAGCATCTCAGCCACAGGATTTCAGGGAAGGTATGCCAATGGTAAAGAGTATTTTCTTTTGAAATTCAGCATTTTCAATGACCAGAAATCCAAATTATCCTAGGGGAAGAGGAGTATTTTTACACTTCCAAAAGTACCTGTCTACATAAGAAAGAGGTTTGGCTTTTTCTTTGGTGAGCAAATAAGGGTATAAACACTTTGAACTCTTTCAGAAAGATAAACTATAGAAATGACAGACCTTCTGAATGTAAAATGATGGGGAAATATAGGTTTGTTTAGGTGTTTAAAATCAAACTGAAACTATTCCAGTGTTAAAGGAACAGATGATCTCAACGAGGTGTTTTGTGATTTCAATCTTTGGGGATGTACTTACAATTTTAACTTTAAAATAAAAATCTTAAGAAGTTAAGGAGTTGTTTTTTAAAAAAAATTTCCCTGTTGAAGGAAACCAGATTAATTTTCATAACAGAATTACTTTTAAAAATATTTAATACTGTGGTTATGCAAGTTTAAGTTGATCTTACATTTATTCCTCCCACTTTCCCAAATCATTGGATCCGAGGTTGTGTTTTCAGGGGAACTGGTGTTCAGTGCGATGAGAGATGTCTTCTCCATTTGATTCCAGAATCGAATCTCGGCTTGTGTTTCTCAATAAATGACTTTGGATACCGTGGCAGGAAAAGAATCAAGGCTTTGATCAGTTTTTACCCGGAATCCTACCTAAATAACGGGCAAGCGGGATTCCCCGCTACAGGCAACCCACCCACCCTTTGCTTTACAAAAAAAAAAAAAAAAACCAACCAACCAAACAAACAAACCGAGTCCCCGTTACAGAACGATTAAGTCCGGGCCAGTTTTGGAACCAGCGCCAACAAACGGTGCGTGACAGCCGCTGTTCAAGGCTATTGGTGGGTGGGGAGGCCAAAGCCCGCAGAATCTTGGAGGCGACCCGTGAAAGGAGGTATTTGCTTGCTGTTCAGATACCAGTGGCCTGGAGATTTCGACCCGGTTCCGCCTCTGGGGGGTCCCAACCTGGAGGGCGAAGCCGGGAGGGAGGATAGGGGAGGAGTCGCACCTGGCTGCAGGCGGGCTGTGTGTCCCCAACTTCCCAGGGCCCAGGAAGAAAGCGCAACCCCTAGTTTATGAAAAAGGACTAAAGAAGTGGGTGGCCTAGGCCTGGGAATGCCACCCAGCTTTCCCAGCGCAGTGTCATTTCTGTGGTTTCAGGCGGCCTCAGCCCCTGCGGGAATCCCACGCCCCACGGCAGCCAGCGGGAAGACAGCCCTTCCATCTTTGGGGACTGGTGAGAGGGCAGCGAGTGACTGACTCCTTAGAAGCAGGAAAAACCACTCCGGCTGGCAACAGGCCCCCGTTTTTCTGCAACAGCAAAGAGCCCTTTGGGGGCGGAGCGGGCATTTGGGGGTCTCTTGTCCCAGCGTCCATGCCTGAGCCTGCGCCTCTTGGCTGAGCGCCCTGCTTTAAGAGTAGTCAATCGTGCCCCACCCTGAGAGCAATCTCGGAGGATGGGCCACCCTAGCTTGGGCCCACTGAGTCTGTGCCAAGTTCAGAGTTCCCTCTACCCTCCATACCTCACACCCTTCTTGATGAAACCAAGCCTCACTATGAAAGCCAGGCTGTGTGGCTTGGAGTTTGGTAACTATTTGGGGGTGGAGAAGATGACTGATTGATTATTAAGGATGAGCTCTCATTTATTAAGTTTGCTCCTTCACTTTGTTTTTAAGCTTTGAAGAGCCTTTATAGTTACTTTGACCCAACCCTGAAAGAGACAAGGTACCAGGGAGAAAGCCCAGGCAGACTTGAGGGAGCTGAGATATAGACAGATACTCATCTCTCTGCCACTCAAGGGACAGCTAAACTCTTCGGACTCCAGGTCCTTCAGGGCCCAGCTGGTCTGTGGGTTGCTGGAAGGTGTTGAAACCACAAGTACAACTTGACACCACTGAGCCCACGGTGCTTGTCAATAATCTGTGAATTAGGTGCAGAGATTGTTACTGTAGATCATAACAGTTTCTGAAGGACTCATTACAGCCTATCCTGTCAATGATCTTCAAATTAAGGAGTGGGGGTGGGTGGGAGGGAAAAGGAATTGGGAGAGCCTACAAAAAGGGCAGAAGGTTGGGAGAGGAGATAAAAGTCAGAGCCACAGCTCTGAAGGAGCCTTTAAAGATTATCAGGCTAGCCATCTGAGAATTCCATTGGGATGGGTTTGGAAGCCCAACTCCATCTGAGCCAGGGCTGGAAAGGGGCACTAGAGGGTGAGCAGAAGTGGGCCCCTGGGAAGGCAGATTTCTCAGACATTTCTTTTGAGGCCAAAAGAGCTTTTGGTAGAGGGCTCCAGATATCAATGGGAGGCCTTGAGGGTGCCAGGCCACCCAGGATGGGTGTACCCATTGATTTAGAGCACTTTCCAAGGCTAGCCACAGCTGCAACTCTGAGAAAAAGTGGGTAGCAGTTTTGTTTAGGGCTGATGGTAACTGTAGGTGATTTTTTCCCCCAATGATTTGCTTTCAGCTTCTTTTCATATAAACAGGTGAAAGACTTTCTTCCTTTTCCTTCGATAGTATTCCTGTCCCTCATGTGGGTAAAGCTGATCCCATTTCTTTCCCCAACTTGTTTCCTGAAGTGCCAAACACCTCTGCCTTCTGAGGTAGTTGAGCATTGTCACTTTTTGAGTCTGTGTTATGTCTGGTTGTACTTCTGGAAAGGGAACTTGAAGTAACACAGAAGCAGTGTGCACCA